TTCATCTCGGCCAAAAGCCCAACAACAATTTATTTTTAATCAAAATAAATTTGATTAATTTAATTTTTATTCATTAATAATTCTAGGGTATGTTTTGGGGCATTACATTTATCCCCCCTTAAAAGGAATTTCGTCCTCGAAATTTTTCTAAGGCTCAATGTTCAACATTTCGTACTGATCTCACTTAATCATGACTGTGTCATGTTCTTTCGGATAAACCATAATTACGTCATTACCCTCACGGATACGCATTCTCAAACTGTGGATGTTATCAAACTCGTTCTTTCTTCAAAAGGATAATAATCTTTTGATTAAGCAAGGTATCCAATGATCCTTTTTGTGGGTTCTCGTTCAGATTCAACATCCATAACTAAGGTTCCTTTGTAGGGTATAACATCGTATTTTGGAGCTTACTTGTCATATTTGCCCAGCACTTCGTTCACTCACAAATGTCGATTGTACGTCATTATTCAACAACATTCTTTCTTTGATTCAAAGTTCTTCAATAGCCTTTGCAGTTTCGAATCATCACTTTCACGATGGGTATAGTTGAGGATTTAGAGTTTGTTTCAATTCATACCTTATAGTGTAATCTTGTAAGTCATCCAAAACATCTCCAACTTGTACACCTATTTCAACATTGACTCGTAAGTAACATCAAATGGCTTTTACCGGTTCATAATTTTCAGAATATGGAATTCGTCGTCATTTATGAGGAAATACCATCAATCGGTTGTATAGTAGCTTTTCATCATCGATCTTATGTCGAAATATTTCTTCGTTCACTTCATGGTAGCTCTCATGAGTCTTTGCATTAATTCACACTCATAGGTGTTGACGTTCGTGTGGTGTCTCAGACACGTTCATGATAGCGATAGGTTTTATTGTAAAACTATGGTTGATCTCGTTTCGAGGAAAGAAGAGATTATCTTCGGTATATGATTCAATTTCACGAATTCATAGAGTAAGGAACCTTATTAGTTTCTTACACCAACAACGTATATAGATTCAAAATTTTCGCTTGAATAATTCAGTTTGATCCTTGTGGTGTCATTTCTTCTCTGGTTGTTGCACATACGTTCCTTTGTTCAGATCAAAGCAGAGTTTCTTGATCATCATTGATAATAATCTTCATAGATAACGTAGCCGCATCAACTGTTTTGTAGTTCACAAAGAGAGGTTCAACATAATGTTCAAGTCAGGGTAGTTTTACTATTGTGATTGAGTCACGCAGTTCACAGAGTACAGTTCTCGAAAATCGGTATCATAAAGCATCTTTTGGATTCAATAGAAAATCGTGAGTTAGGATAATTTTTCCATGGTTCAATATTTTGATACAAGCAATGGAATTCAATCTTTTCAGGATTGATCAAGTGGGATGTTTCAAGAGTGTGATTAACACAGAAAGTTTGGGTATCTCAAGGATATGAGTCACAAGATACAAAGATAGTGCTTGCAAATTACCGTTACTAATCGTAGGTTTTCATCCTTTAATGTTTCACTCTTTGGATGTTACTCAAGGGGTCATTGTCTTAGGGAAATATTTGTTTTGACTTTTCGTCTTGGATTTGAACGTATTTCAAGACAGTGAATCTACTTATTCGTGAGTCTCAATATGTCATATCATCAGCAGACTAGTATTGGTGAGTACATCATCATCAGTAGGTAAATCGAATCCATTTTTGCTGTACGAATTTCGACTAAGGATAATTATCCTTTTTCTCAAAGGTTAGGTTTCAAGCCTATATATCATGATTGTGGTAAGAGTATCTCACATTCTCACATTATGAAAGGAACTTCTCGAGCTCTTTCTTATACCATAAGATTCGTTAGTCTACCTGGTAGTCATGCTCTTGGTAACAATCCAAGGTTCATGGCTACAGCGGTAGATTTAGGACGAGAATTGGTAAGGCGAAAAATTAGGCTTACTTATGGAGGAGGCAACGTTGGCCTTCAAGGGGCTTTAGCTTCAACAGTCTATACCAATGGTGGTATAGTCAGAGGCTTCATACCAAGATACATAGCGGCACGACAAGTCTAACGACCTACGTATGGTGTAGAGTACACTGTTTCCAGTAATTACTATAAGTATTTTGAGATGAATCATGTTGTAGAGGCTTTCATCATACTTGCCGGAGGGGTTGGTACTATGGAAGGTTTGTTCACTTTGATTTCATGGGCATTTGAAGGGTTGCACAATAAACCTATTGGTCTCTTGAACATTGATGATTATTTCAATAACCTAATCAAGTTTCTAGATGATGCAGTGATGCAAAACTTCATGGCTTTGAATCAGAGGAAGCTTTTCATTTCTTCTTTCTTTATTGATGAGCTTTAGACAAACTAGAGTTTGCTAAAGCTTTCCTAGGTCCTGGGGCTAATTATGAAGAGTTTGCAAATCCTGAGCGATTAGACATAGAATTGCATCTGTAACTTTCCTTATGTAATCCAAATTGTATTTTGTGTTGAAATAATATTATCCATAAACATCAATGGTTAGCCGTATGCAAGCTACATTTTCTTCATTCTTCAGTCTTTCACTGTTGGTGTCACTGTTTCACGTCTTATTTTGTATTGTCACCACGTCGCAATCTTTCACGTCAATAGGGTACATGAACGTGTCAATTATCTTAATGATTTGTCTTGTCAGCATGACTTTACTTCATTTATTCAATAAGACTACACTGACATTTTCAACGATAAGTAATTAAGCCATTAATCGCTTCATAACAAGGCATCAGTTTATTCAACAAGGTTGTCTATAGCTTTTAACAAGCAGGTTCTTTGTATCTGACCGAACAAGTTGTCACTTCGTAGTAAAGGGTAATAATTCTTGATCGCCGATTTGTTCATCTTCCTTAACTGGGGTGAGATAGTATCTTGACCGTAAGTCAATCTTAGAGAACACAATTAATCCTCTAATCTGATCAAATAAGTCATTGATACGAGGTAAAGGATAACGAAGTGTGTTGGGAAAAATATCATAGATTTTGATGATGATGTATTTAGAATGTAATAGGGACTTTAGGTCTCTCCCAATGTTCAATGTAATTTTTCTTTTTAGAAATATTGTTAAAACCAAGTTCTTGAGATTTCCAATAAGGTTGTGATATTTCTTTAAGCGTTTTGATGCCTGAAGACTTAATCAAATTCAGTGATATGGAAATTGGATATCTTGATCGGAAATGCTAGAGACAAGTAAGGATTTCTCAAGCAGATGAAAATCCTCTGATCCGGAAGACTACATAAGAACCGGATGTCTCGCTACAACCCGCTGAAGGCTAAGTCACCCAAATCGGAAGACTAGCGCGGATATCTTTCTCACCCGGAAGTCTGAGAATGACTCCTCCGGATTTGTCAGCTAAGAACCGGATGCCTCAAGGAAGACCGGAATTCTCAAAAAGCGAACAAGTGAGAAAAGACTTAGAAAATTATCTAAGTCTTGAATGAAGAAATTCTACTCGTTGGTAAGGAAAAATCAATCTCTTGATTTTCAACGGCTAGATTGAAGATAATTATGCTGATTCAAGAACAAATGACTCGAAGACAAAGTCTGAACCTCTAAAAATTGAAGAACCTGTCCAGAATTCCTAAACAAGCACTAAAAGACAAACAGAGTAAAGTTCCACAGTCCAGAATACTTGAACAGCAGCTAGAAGACGGACTCTATGGAAAAAGGAATCTCTCCTTTAACAAATGGGTATGTCCAAACACCCATTCCAATGAGGAATCTTCAAATCACAATCTTCATTCAAAATTGAAGCCAGCAAATGCAACGGATAGTCTATTATGATTCAACG